TGTTTGTAAACTTCATTCTGTATCACCTGCAAGTTTCATTAACATTCCCTTTATTCAGTCTTAGATCTCTAATTAAGACATCAAAGAAATCCAGACTGGCAAAGATCCCTGCAGCAACCTAGTAGATGCCCCCTGTACCTGTTGGTTCCATTGGTATATATCATTACACTTAGTTTTGAAGCCGTTAGTTAATTTTCTAATAATATGAGCAGTATTCTCCAAAGCAATCTGAGATAATTTTTCAGCTATGATTTCCTTGGAGAGTAGCAAATGCTATTCTAAATCTAAACCTATTGCATCATGCAGTGTATTCTTTTCATTCCCTAACTTCATGGCAATTCTCTCTCCTTTGAAGAGCAATCAAGTTTTATCAAGATTTACAGTAATGCATGCGCATTATGCCCGCCACCATGCTAAATAAATGCCCAAGATGGTCCTTCGTAGAGCCTTGTTAAAAAGTCAGGAATTTGCATGCGTGGAGCTCATTACAAGATCTGAGACTAGATGATTAGAAAGAGGTTTGGGGTTTGGAGGTGGTGTTTTGGGTTCTTGGGGATTTTTTGTTTGGTTTTTTTGGGTGGGTTTTTGTTGCTGTTGTTGTTCCTGCCCCTTGGGTCCTCCTTTTTCTGGAGATGATGCAGTCACTCCCCTTTGTTTTTAAGGCCATATGAATTAGATGTTTTCCTGCTAGGGAGGGGCAGGTTTTCCAGTTCCCGGTGCCACTGGCTGAGTCACTGGCTCTGTTTTTCTGTTCCGTAGTAGGTTTGTAATTACCTTGTTCTTACCTTCCTTAGAATATGATTGCCAAAGGGTAGGTGTTTTACTTCTCTGTACTTCTGAGATGTGAATGTCAGTGGCTTTCAGAGCATGGATACGAGCCCTTGAAGCATCTGCTTTGCTATTGCCAAAGAGAAGATAAGCATAGTCCTCAAAGTACCTCCCTTCAAACAGTATGGTAACCATTAATGATAGATGTCCAGGCAAAGTCTAGTCTCTCGTAACCAGGACTGCTTTAACTGAAGGAGGAAAAGTCAAGAGAGCACTGACCATGTGTATACTGAAATGGAAAGGGAGGATTTGCTGATGTGTCTTAAGTTCATCTTACCTGATCGTTCTTCTCCATAGCAGGTCCTTTAAATAAAGCTCACTGATACCATACTAGCAGGATTTAGAGAGGTTCTCTTAGTTTGAAAATCTTGTCAGCTCAGGGAAAAAAAGAGAGAGGTGTAAGAGAGAGGTTTGCATAAGAAGATTTTCTCCAAGTACACTCACTGCTCTTTGATTTATCTTTCTAAAAATAAATAAATAAAATCCTATTTATTTCCCCGCCCCCATTTGTTTGTGAAGGATCTATGTGAACAGAAGAAAGTAACTGTGCAGGGGTAATAATGTAAATCGCTGTTTCTATCCACCCAGTAAGCTAACTGAAAAATAGAGAAGCAGCATTTTTTTCCACTGTTTTTGGTCACAGGTTTTATTTGTAAGAACATGTTTTAAAAACTGGAGTCAAGTCTGTGGTTGGCTGTGTCCCTTTAAGAATCTAATTTTGCTTGGCTAGCTGCCCTTGTTCTCCTGTAGATTAATCCAGCAGAAGGTATATAACCTGTTGACCTTCCTGGTGAGAAGGGTCTGGAAGGGCAAAGAGATAAATTGGAAGGTTCCTGCTTTCCTGTAATATCTGGGGGCAAGTTTAACCTGTGTTGTTCAGTTTTTGTCATTTCTTTTTTCTCCTTTTTTGCTTAGTGATTCCCGTTTGAGGGTTGTCGTTGTACTCACAGGTTCTCATGATTTTCACTTGCTTTCTGTGAAATCCCTGTATGTTCAGCGGTTTGGAAATGACAGTGTGTTTATGCCACAGTTGAGAGGGGAGAGTTCTGAGCTCAAAATTACACTAGTCCGAGTTGGGGACGGCTCTACTGTCTCTTGTATCAAACTGGTAGAAGAACTAGAATCCGGTTAAAATGGCTGGCGTCTGTTTGTCTGCTAGGAAATTTCAGACTCTTACGAAAAAACAAATCTGGCAGACTTCCCTCAGTGTCAGCCCTCAGGAAGTGATCATCTTAGCTGTAAGCAGTGAGTGTTCACCTGCTGCGTGTTCCAGGTGGAGCGTGTACTCCAAAACTGAGCTGGGGTGGTTTCTGAGTACCCCAAGAGAGTGCAGCTTGGTTGGTAGCCATGAGTAGGGTTCACTTATATGATGCAGATGTTTCATGGTTGTTCTTTACTTTACTTAGGCATTGGTTTATCAAAAGTATCAAATAGCTTTAAGCTCCTGTCTAACTAGTACTAAAATCAAGGCACGTGCTTAATTGGTTGACTGAATTGAGGTCCCATTTTATATACCTATTCTGCCTGTTTGTGGTTTGCTTTTGTCTTGAGGCTTTAGTAAAGGGCTTAGCCCTGGCCGGACAGGTTGCGGCCACAACACAGACTACCTGCAAGCACTGCAGATGCGGCAATCTGACCGTGTGCGTGGGTTGTGTGGTCAGTGCTTCTGCCTATTCCATTGTAGGACTCTTAGCCCAGGTTCAGCTATTTCTTTTCTTGGAGACTGGCTATAGTTTTGGAGCTAAACATTTTCACTGCTTTGGATGAGAGTTGCAAACGTCTGTCTCCTGTCTGAGTTCATGTGAAATTCTGCCATTAGTGCCATGGGAAGCTAAGTATGTCACAGTTGTGAGGTTTTTTTGGGACATCTACCCTTGAGTCCTAGACAAGAGGTTGTGAGATGTCATGAACAGGAGGCAGGATTAGGAAATAAGAATTTGATTTGGATATCATAAAGTAGGCATTATGAGTCTCTCAATTTCGTGTTACTTGTCAAGAAAGACTCAAAAGACGCACAATTTCCAGACAGTGTTGAGCATGACCCCCTCTGAAGTTATACCACTTGCAATTGCAAATCACTTTTAAAGTTCACCTTTTCTTGTCTTGAAATTCTTGTCTGGATTTTGCCCCCAGTCTGATTTTGTCATTGGGTGGTTCACTTAGGTCTTTGTGCTATAGTCTTTTCCATAGGTAAAATGGGGGCTTTTGAGTCTGATGGAGAGATTTTCAGGATAACTAACTTTCAGTGGGTTTAGGAGCAAGGCCTTTTTAGGTTGCTATTAAAGGTTCCCTATTCCTTAATAATTAAGCGAATAATACTCTTTGGGAAAAAGCTAAGCATGATTTATTTCTGTCTCTAGCTTGGTTTGGTGAGACCCAAGCAATTTTTATCAGTCAACGTTGAAGGGACAGTTGTGATTTAAACGTGTTAGCTAACACTACTGGTGATTCTGCAATAGAAAAGGGACATGATTATTTGACTTCCTCCTGGTTTATTGCTTTCTAACCAGCTCCGTGCTTGTTGGGAGAATGACTCCTGGTGACCGCTGCTGCTAGCACGAGGCTGGCTAACCATTTTCACCCTGCCACAACCTTCATCTGTTTGGGAAGCTGTGAAACACATGCCACATGTCTTGGAAAGTCAGGGAGAATGGGAGCTCTGGGAACAGTTCCCGCATGGGAGATAACGGTGACTCCCCAGGAATTGCACTGTTCCTTTGAGGGCTGGGGCCAGCCCAGTGTGTGGCTCAATCCCAGGGCAACCTGGCAGTGTCAATCTCTGCTGCCCTTGCTGGCTCATTTTTCTCTCCCAGCTGAGATGTGAATCACACAGTAGTCATTTTGTCAGTCCAAGGCTGGTGGCCTTGTGATGTAGCCCGTATCTGGGAGCTGTGCGCGAGTTGCCTGTGGCTCAGAATCGATCCCCAAGTTGGCCACCCCTAGACTAGTGGGAGCAGAACTAGCCTTTGGGTTTGTTGTTGTTGGGTTGTGTATTTTTTTTCCTCCCCTCCTTAGGGCAGCAAAGCTCTGTGTTCTGTTTCCTTTATCACGAATGGAACTGACTGGACGGTGTGCAAGGCCACACACAGCCTTATCTCATCACATCCTGTTTGACTGCATTATCCAGGGCTGCACTGATAGAAGTTCTCCTCTGTCCTTGTTTTGATTTATATCACTGTGCTGGACACTACATCCTCTCTCTGTTTCAGCCAGAGCTCAGCTACTGCAATAATTAAAGAGCGTTGTTTTGCTTTGCTCAGGAAGTCAGGTGCCTTTTGAACAGCAGCTGCTGCAGGCAGTTTCAGTGTAGCAAGCAAACCAAGCTTGATTTTATGCTAGGCAGCGTGATAAGCATTCAGCTGGAGCCCAAGCTTATGTTGGATGTGATCTGAAGCTAGTAGTGCTTGTTCCTTTGTAAACCAGTCTTATTCAGTGGTGAGACGGAGACAAAAATCTCACAATGCAGCCTGTAGATGTAATGAATATATTACCTTGCCCAATACACAGAGGGAAACCTCAGTTCTCCTTTCTTCCTTGCCTGGCGCTGCTGCCTGTTAAGAGTTTTTGCTTCACCTACAGCACGTAACACTTACCTTAACTGGTTTTATTGATAGGATTAGGCAGCATTACTCTGGTGTCCTGGGTGGATAGGGATATTCGCAGGGAATAGCCACCATTGCTCAGGGATTGCAGGAGGCCCAGGGCAAAAGGTGAGATCGTAGCCAGTCTCACCACTTGGCTAAGTTGTTACAGAGTGTTTGAGCGGAGCCCCCTCAAAAAGCTCAGTGAATGCACCCGCTCATCTCCACTGTTGCTGGATCTTCTGCCGAAACGGAGTGGCTCTGGCTCCAGGCTGATTTAATGACTGCAGTGCAGCTCCTGAGGAGCCTGAGCAACTGGCTGCTGGCTGGTGCTGCCGAAGTGCTGTTACCTTCCTAGATACAGTTCAGTGCTAGTTGGTCTTGCTACAGTTGCATCTTTATTTATTTTGCTCTGTAGAGACCGTGTAAACATGTTCATGATTTCTGTCCTCTTTTGCCTGCAAGCTTTAACAGACCTTAGTTATTGTTGAACAGCTGCTTTCCCACCTTTTCCCTTTCCAGGACGTTTTTTTTCCCTGCAGTCTTTGAGTTGCACCCCCTTGGAGCTACTCATCTACTCATTGCACTCATTCTTCTCTTTCAGAGGAACTGAGCTATTGTTGTAGTGTCCCGTAGAATTTCCCAGCCTTCTTCCTCTGGTAAGTTTGAATGCTATCTTCCATCGTACCTCGCACAATAGATTTCATAGTATTCCAAACTGTTGCTTTCCTAAACCCAAATCTTGTATGACTGCATTGTGTAAGCTCATTTGTTAGTGTGTTCTGGATGGAAGTAACTGACTGGTTGTTGCTGTTTCCAGGTTTTCTTATTGTTATAAACTACTCTAAAGTTATAGTTTGAGCAGCAGGACATCTTCTTTTCTGGCTGAACTCATTCTTTTTTGAAATTCTGTTTGACTGCTGATCAGATACGAAAATGTTGTGCTTCAGATCCTCTATAGTAGCAGTATTTAGCTCATGTTACTAAGGTACTGAGTACCGGAATTGTTTGGTTTTGTTTGCATTGCAATGACATCAAGGAATACCTGTAATAGGAAGCAGTCCCTGCCCCCACAGCTTGCAGTGCCATTAAATGAGACCAAGGATGAAGGGACGTCCTTGGTAAAATGAAGTGACTTGCCTCAGAGTGCAGCCAGCTCAGAAGCAGGAGTGGAACTGCACTGTCAGACTCCATACGGCTGTGCTGGCGAGTGTTCCTGCCTGGGAGGAGTGAGTGAATAGGGACGTCTCTGGTTAGCATGTCGTGCTTGATACCGATTCCAGGAGGGAAAGGGGGTGGCCATGGAGTGGGGGGAGTCTTTTGGACAGAGCAGCTCTAAGAAAACTGAACAACTGGAGACAGCTGGCTGCAATTTTTCAGATCCTCAGGAAAGTATGATTTTGTGTTGAGCAGCTGCCACAAACACTTAAGAGGGAGCTGTTACCAACAGTAATGACTGAGGGATTGATATTAGAAAGCAGATGTGTCAGACTACGGAGTCTGTTAAAGATGTGCTCTCTGTCAATGAGACCTCGCTGAAGGGCTCTTGGCAGCTGTCTAGCCCTGCAGGATCTCTGAATCTCAATGAGCCACCATGTGTGAAAGGAAAGAGAGTTAGTGTTGAAATTACCAGCATCAGAACAATTAAAGCAAAGCTGCTGGAGCTGAAAGATTTTTGTGCTTTCTCCATGGTTTTGCTTTCCTCTGACCCAAAAGCCTGCCTTTGTGAGTGACTCATTAAGAGATGGGCCATGGCAGAAAGAGCAGGGAGCAAGAGTGAATAAGAAACGGTATTTGGACAGAGGGAAAACATAACAAGGAAGTAGAGATACTGTGGTGAGGAGGTGGGGGTGTTGTGAGGGGCTTGTGTCTTTGATCCTGGGAGAGAATCCATGACTAGACCCCACAAAGAAAGGTAGTTAATCATCCCTCAGTAAAATAAGAGTGGGATCAGAATAAGAACAAGTGTAAGGTACAATACCAAAAATAGGCCAAGAAGAGGAGTGTAAGTTCAAACTGAGGGAATCTGAAGCGAACAAACACCAGGCCTGGGACCTCTGGCAAAACTTCCTGTTACAAGAATGGGACAACATCCTCCGACTCCTCTGATCCCAAGAACTGTGCCTGGCGAGGCGATTCAGATGGGGGAGGAATTGTCTGAGCATGCCTAGAAACTGGGATGTCTGTTTAGTGATTTCAGAATCAAATTCCCTCCACATCAGAAGAAAGCTTTGTGATTACAAGCTCTTCCATAAGCAGAACTTGTAAACTATTTTTTTTTTTTAAGTACTAAAATATTTAGTGGTATTAGAACACTCAGTAACACAAATCACCATTAAAGTTACCAAGCTGTATGTGTATAGTTACTATTGATTGAATGGGAAAACAGAAGCAAACTGAAAGCTAGATGCTGAAGCATTTGTATTTTGTTAAAGTAGTTACTAATGAATATTATTCAAACCTTTCTTATAAATAACACATTCAACATTAGCATGTTTCTGAAAAATGCTCTATTTTTGAACAGATTGCTTTTTCAATGGAAAGTGGCTCCACTGACAGTTTTTCAACTTGCCATACTAATAAAACCATTTACCGTAGAGTTTAGCCCCCAGCTTCTCTACAGTTTGCTTTTCTTGGTTTAATAAGTGGCCACTTTGGCCATCAGTGAGTTCAGAGTTCAGATCAACAGTGCAGGAAATGGAAGGTCTGAAGTCTTCAGCCAAAGAAGAGACCCACAGACAGATAGCACCTGACCAGGACTCCCTGTATTAGTGTTTATTGCCTCTGAGCACAGAGTATTGCCTGGGATTGCACATGGAGCTTACTATTTAAACAACATTATTTAAGAAAACTTTGCAGGCCCTTTAAGCCCTTGGCATCTTACTGAACTGGAGGCAGAATTACAAGGATTTTCATCGTCATTTCAGTCTATGGAATTTCTTTGGAAGTTATCAAAAAGAAGGCCAATTTGTGTTAGTGTCTGGGTGATTATTGAGGTTTCAGCTGGAGGTGGCTAAACATCCTTGATTTTATAGTCAGCCCAATTCCACTTTTCTCACCATCCATCAGGAATAGCTTTAGTGCCACGAAGGGAAAGCAGAATCAGGCCCCAAGGTGTAGAAAAGTTGGGATTGGCCACAATAGCACATTTCAGTGCCTGCTGACCTAGCTGTAGCTTGGGATAGGACTAACATTGCTGGTCAAGGCACAAAAAGTAAGAAGCATTAAAAAAAAAAAAAAAGTATCTAGTCACTTCAAGATTTATGTAATTTCTTCTCTCATTGCTCTTATGTTCCACATGTCCCTTGATTTAGACTAATGTGAGATAAGGCTCACACATTCTGTCTCTTGCTTTGTGGACTTTCCTGAATATACAAGTGATTTTGGCAGCAGTTGGCACAACTTTTCTTTCGTGTTTGGAGAAGAGAGTCTTGGGAGTTGACACTGAACTGAATACAGCATATGTTTTCTCCTCCACTTATTCTGGACCTTGGATCAGAAAGGACCCAGAGTTTCCTTTGTCATCAAAGGTGCTTGGCACAGATGTGAATGAAGCCTTGTAAAACCTGAAATGATCAGGCAACAACTCCTAGGGTTTGGACGCCGGGGGGGCGCGGGGCGGGGAGGGAAGTTATGCTTCAGATATGGTTGCTTAGTTTCCAACGTAAGAGTGTGCCATCCTGAAATCATCTGCTAGGTATCCATCCGTGTCTGCATGGACATTAAGGAGATGAAAATAACTGGATTCAAAGTAGGTGCTTTTTATGGTTATCACGGCCATACATTCCCTAGGAGATTACTTTGTCTACTTGTATGCGTTGCTAGGGGATTTGGTTTGAGAGCAGAGGTTGTAGCTTCCAGTGACCATGGCTTTGGGATTCATACAGTTGAGCAGTTAGAGTATGATTTCGGTTGGTGTGGAGCCTGCTGACTGTCATGAGACTTCCAGCTCCAAATGCAGGTGGTACTATGAATACGCTTGCTATCACACCTTAGGCTTCTTTCTGAACCCCTCCATTTCTCAGTCTGTCAGCCTAAGTTAAAACTAGTCTGTGCCTTGTGTTTGTGGAGATTTTAATGCGCATTAAATATGGAGGGTCTTGACAGCCTCTAGGGACTAGGGATGCTTGGGGAAATATCAAAAGAAGAACAGTTGGAACAGATAGCTTTCCACAAGAGGGACTCTGACAGAGAAACAGAAGCTTACTCCTCTACGCTGATTCCCCAGCAGGACAATCTCTTGAATACCCATGTAATTTTTTATTGAGCATCTGCCAGTGAAAGGCGGTGTATTGGTGATAGATGCTTGGTGAGGGAAGCAACTGTTACTGTTCATTTCAGGATCTCTTAAAAGTCACATTGCCTGCTTTGGTGCCATTCACAGTGTGCTTGGGATGTCTGTCCCAGTGGTAAAGGCCAAATGTGAGTTCCCCTTTCTGCCCCCCTCATGTTCCATTTTTTTATTTCTTCCCATGTTCATTAGAGCTCTGAAAATGTATAGCGTGGGTCAAGAGGATTCAAATAATCTAATGTAGGGGCTGGAATGGATGGATGGACAGTGGTAGGCCCTTCCAGTGGTTCATATGTTCCAAACATTCTCACAGGAAATAAGTCATATACTGGGTTTTCTAAATGTCCATGTGAACCACTTGGCTGCACCGTGATGTAAGAAGTATACCGTGTCTAGAAATTATTTACATGCCCAGTATTATCTCCTTTGTTTCCTGAGCTTTTGGTGGGTGATGGAGATGTAAAATACGTATCTGCTGCTGTCTAAAGTCATTAAGGAGCAGTGAAACCTTCTGAGAGCCAGTGTTGTCAACTCTTTTTTACAACTTCAGCTTTTGAAATGATAAAATTCTTAAGAATTTCAGCTTTTATTAAAAAAAATTAATAAAAAATCTAGTCATTATGGTCTTTCATTTTGTAAACATGAAATCCAAAGAGACTTAAAAAGGAGTGTATGATGTAATGCTTTTTTAAGTTGATGTCAGAAAAGTTTCTGGAGCCATAAGCCCTGAATTTTTGAACTTCTGAAGTTGGGTGAATGTACCTGCTTTGCCTGTTTACCAAATAGGGCATGGCATAACTGCACAAATTTAGTTCTAGCTAGTGTTTGACATAGACCATGCCCAAATTTCTCCTCTGTCCTCCTTTACATTGTCACTGTGATATTTCTGAGCTAGTCTGACTTGGTGTGTCATAGCTCTCTCCTTACTCTCTTGTTCAGTATGGGTTTGATGATTCTGTTGCTCTTGCAAAAAAAAGTCTTATTCTGATTTTCTTGCTACCCAGCTCAATGTGGTGATACGCAGGGAAGTTTTGAACTCTCTCATTTAACTGGATTCTCAAATGGTGGCTTGTGAACATTCTTTGTAACTCAAATAACGAAACCATTAGAAATGTAAACGAACAACTTTGGTATTAAGGCAGGGGAATGATCTGTGTCTTTAAAAGCCATTTGTCTTATGTGGTTGACTGGTAGTGCCTGTATGGTCTGAAGTTGCTTTCTGAATGAGTGTTTTAGCAGCTCCACTCAATGACTTCAGCCTCTACTGTAGGTGTTTATAAGTAGACTATAATTTATTGTAGTTTTCAAGAGCTAGCAGCTGTCTGCTTAGGTTCAATGAGAAATCAGTTTCTGTTCCTGCCCAGTGGCAAATCTAATAGCCTGAGACTGGTAAAGGATGAGGGGGCAGAGAGGCACAGAGAACTGAAGGAATTTGCCCAAGGTCATTTTGAAGATGAGCAGTAGAAACAGGCTAAGCGCCGAGGATTCTTGACCTGCAACCTAGTGCCTTTATCCTTTTACTCATGGTGCCTTCTGCTCCTGCCAGGATGTAGTGCTGAGATTTGGGAGACATTGCATTAAACTGTCTGTCTCCAGGAATTGCTTTTTAGAAGTGCAGCTGATCCTTGAGAAGAAGAAATGTCAGTGTTAAAAATGACACCGATTACTAACTTTGATCCAGTGAAACAGTATCTGAGAAACTTTCAACCCCGGTGCTCAAGTGGTGACTAGATAATTCATCACTGCTTCATTTTGTGTAGTCTTTCCCACAGACTGAATCCCTGTATGCGTGCTTCAGAAAGTTAAATAACAGTTACACAGATAATGACAGCAGAGGGAGAAGGAAATTAGGAGACAGACATAGGCAAGAAGACATAGTGTTTGAGAAGAATTGGGAAGTGATAGAGAGTTAATAAGCCAAAGAGATATGGAAGCAGGCTGTTGCATCAGAAGGATTTGTAGAAAAGATTTTCATCTCAACATTAATAGATATCAAGCACGTGGCTGAGTTACCATTTAAGGTAAACTTGTAGTAAAACCCCTCCTCACTGAGGTTTTTTGATTCTTTTTTTTTTCTTTAGTATCTCCTCATTTTCCTAGAGAGAAGGATCTCTAACTGACAGATGGGATGTGTTTGTCATCACAGGATCTGAGTCTGCTTCTCCACGTGGCACCTTGGAGTTTCTAGCTGGCACCATTACCTCCAACGAGTGGAGTTCTCCCACCTCCCCTGAGGGGAGCAACGACTCAGGGGGCAGCGAGGCCTTGGACAAACCCATTGACAATGACGCTGAGGGTGTGTGGAGTCCGGACATTGAGCAGAGCTTCCAGGAAGCGCTAGCCATCTACCCACCATGTGGACGGCGGAAGATTATCTTGTCAGACGAAGGCAAGATGTACGGTAAGGAGAAAGAAAGGGCACATCACAAATCTCCAGGCAGCCTGCCCTGCGCAGGCCACTTGCCTCGCATGAAATGGTGTTCTGAATGAACTCTTCTTTCAGGTGATCCCAAGTTGATGCAGTTGGTCGCTTCAAGTTGTATTTAGGAAAGTCAGTGAAGATTTTAACATTCCATGCACACAGATCAGAAAGAATTATAGATGTCTTTTTCAGGGGAGTATCAGTAAGGTAGATCCCAGAGCTGGGCATGCTACTGAACTTATCTTTGGATACATATCATATAATGGCTTCATGGTGTGACTAAGTCTATCTTTTATGGTATCTCTCACTGCTGTCTCCAACATTCTTGTTATCCTAACAGGTAAAGGTCTGGGTCTCTGGTGCTAAAGGGCAGAAGTTCAGCCCCTGAAGACCTGAATAGCTCTGCTGGTGGTGTGCAAACACCTATGGTTTGTTAACTAGCTAAGCTTTTGAGATCTTAAGAAGGGCAGAAAACAGACATCTCTGGCTGCTCCCTTTCATTGTAGGTTGCCTTTTTATAGCTTTGGCATGAATGCCTTTCACCTGTGGGTTCTTCTCAGCTAGCTAGCTAGATACCCAGCCCTGAATGCAGAAAAGTGCTGGCTTGCAGCTGCAGCAGAAGTCAACTTTTTAGGTGGTAGACATGATTTTGAATTGGATTTTTTATCTATTCCACAGTAAAAATTTCTCTTTTGATTTTGTCCACAAAGAAGCTGGTCTGGGCTGGATTCTCTAGGTCAGTATTGGAAGAAGCCACCTGGTAACTCGGTGACTAAAAAGCAAAGCAAAGGCTGAGAGTGCACAACATTTGGTTAGAAGTCCCAAGGTGTTAAAAACTGTTTCGCAAAGCACTAGCAAGGATCTTATGGAAGGCAACCCTCTTCCTACCTAGTCATTGCTTGTTTTTTTTCCTTTACATTGGAATCTGTGTGTCTTTGCAGGCCCCATCATGGGAGCACCATGCCCTGAAGCGTCATATGGAGCACTTAACAAGTCATTCTGCAGGTTTCTGTCCACCCATCGGGCCATTGTTCCCTGAGCTAGGGAATGGATTGCTCTCACTATGGGGGCATGGGTGGTGTCTTGTTTACACAGCCTTATCTCCAATGGATGGTTTTACTGGGTACATACATCATTGTATCTGTATAGAGCAATACATCTTGAGTAAGGCTGATCACCCTGAGGCTCAGCAAGTGTCAATATTCTGATGTAGACGTCAATTCCTGCTCTATGCTGGCACAAACATTTTTGTGGTTGTGCTATGGAACTGACCAGGGAACTGATCCAGCTTAAAACTAACACAGCCAGAAAGTGGAAAAAAGTGAACTTTAATTTGGATATGTCCCCTGATTTGTTTCACTGCACAGCTGCTTGTGCTGGTACTTAGAGAAGGGATGATGAGAGTGGGAATGAGCAGCCATGGTTGAGCTGAGGGTAGGACTGCTTCTTACAGAAGCAACGCTTGCTTAAAATGTTATTCAAACTAAAATATTACTTGAAAATCCTCCCTATGGTTATTAAGCATAGATTAGTGGCATGCTCCTTGCCGCTGTAAGTCTGCACTAGTTTTCATGACAAGTGACTTTAAAATTACTGGTGAAAAATTACAGTTGTGTTTTAAGACTGTCTTCATTTACTAATCATTCTGCATAGTCCCTGAAATACTTCAGCTTTGGAGTGAACGTGTCAGAGCAGAGAGCAAAATGGACCAGAAAAGAAAGAAGAGTGAGAGCAAAAGTAAAAATGAAGTAGAATGGACTACAGAAACCACCGAGACATAGCTGGGGCCTGACCTAGCATGGACTGGTGTTTAGTGGAAAGTCTCTAGTTAACTACACTGGTGAGCTGCAGAAGGTAAATAACCCACTTGCAGGGTGAAAAGTTTAGGCTAGGCTCTGGGAGAAGAAATGAAATCCCTCCTCCACTACTCCAAATGGGACAGTGTCCCTGCTTGCCTTTAGTGCACCTGTTCCCAGCGTGGATGGTTGGTTCGATGTGCTCCTGACAGAGGCCGAGGCACTGATTTATGCCCTCCTTTGCTTACTAGTCTCCAGGATCCACGCCAAGGAAGCAGGGCCCAGCCTGGGATATATGAAAAGATATGACCGGGCAGGGAGAATAAATATAGTCCCTGATTTCATCTTCACCGCTTATGAGCCAGCTCACGGAACAGGACAAGCTATATGTGGAGCCGGCCCTGCCTCCAAGAGCTGGTTGTTTAGCTGTCCCGTGACCAACTTGCATAGAACTCATTGAACCAAGGAGCGAGGTGTTACAGAGAACTGCATATGCCCCTTCCCCTGACAAAAGGGGAACCATTTCACTGTTTCCCACTGAGGAGTGGCTTGTGTGGTCCTACTCTTTTGGGCACGATGTTCCAGGTCCCAGGATCTCTTCTATGTGCAATTTATGTCCTTCTCACCTGTTGTGAGGCAACCTGTTATCAGTTTAAATTTAGTAGCTTTTACCAGCAAACATGTTGAACAAGCTGAAGTGAACCAAGCTAATATAAAGAACTTGCACTGCTTTGTTTGAATACATTTAAAATTGCACAGAAAGGTGTGTTTCAGCCTATACACAGGCCTCATGCTCGTGTTCCCTAGCCTCTTCCAAGCTGGTTTGCTGCTTACAGCCCTTTAGCTCAGTCCACTGCTGATTGCTGGGTGGACATGATCCCTACTTCACCTGGAAGTCAGCCAGGTTCTTCTCTGTACATTGACGATCTGTGTCTTGATGCCTTTGCTGCCGCCTTTTCTTTCATTATCTTTTGCCCTCCTAGACATGCTCCGTTACTGGAGGCAGCATCCCAACTGAATAAGCTCATACCACAGTGCTGCTCCAGGTACAAGCCTTCACTGTCCTCTCCAGCAGTCTCTGCTTACCACCTGCTTAAGGCACAAAAAGCTGTCTTGTTTGATATGGGATGCTATCTTTTCTCCTAGTCATTGTGTTGACATTAGAAGCAGTGAGTCCAGGGCACCATTAACTTACTGATCTGTTGCCTTCTGGTACCACTAAGGTCCCGCAGGATAATTTTTATAAGCGTTGCCTTTTGGGGGTACCATATTACAAATCTGGCTTTTACATTTTTCAACTATGTTCTTCCATGGGAGAAATAATATCTGTAGCATTTGTACTAAATAAGCAATCCTAGAATTCTGTGTTAGAGTCACTGTCTCCTGGCATCTTCAGTACTGGTCTAGAGAAAGAAGAGGGGGAAAAAGCTTAGTACCTTTGTGTGATTTGCATGGAGATGCTAATTAGAGCAGGTCTCCCAACACTACTGAGGACAGAGAAATAAAAAACAGTAACTAGCAAAGTGGTATTTATTTTGACAAAACGCTGCTGTGGCCTTGATTTACAAGTAAGGAAGTAAGAGCTTGGAAGGACTGAGCTACTGCCTTAGCTGTCCAGTGTTCCCTTCCACTGCACAAACATCTGGCTTGGAGCACCTTTTTGTAAGAGGAGCTGGAATTGGTGGCTGCTTATTAGATTGCTGTTCTGTAAGAGGCAGTAGTTTAGCAGCTGGTTTACAAACAGCTCAGCCACTTCTGTGCTGAGCAGGGTGGGGCAAGCAGGTGGGGGCAGTCATCTATCTCCTAGGCTGGTACCATCTGTTTGTGAGTCAAAGGCCTGGTACGGCTGATAGGAAATACTTAAAGATGTCCAAAGCTCAGAGGCTGAGTGATAGAAGGATAGTTAACCATGTTGCTAGTTAAAACCTGGAGCAGGCAGTGAACTGCAAAGACTTGAGCTTGCAAAGTGAATTAAGCTGGCATAAAAGGTCAGTCTGATGCTGAAAACTACCATGTCACAGGTGGTCCATCCCACCCCTGTTCTGAAACAACCAGGTAAATTTGCAGGATATTGCCTTCATCTCAAAGGGATATGTTATCAGTTAATGTTTTCCCCAACCTCAGAAAGTCACTAAAAGTAAAACTCAAAAGCAAACAAATAAACCCGAAGAAGCACAAAACATACACTGCCTGTCCCAGTTCATAAACGCTATTTCTCCTTGAGGGAAGGGAGAAGCATGGCAGCTATTACAAATATGAAAATCTTCAAGGTGTTAGTCTTCAGATGCTTTCTTCTGTATCTAGTTTAGCATCTCACCTGATGATGTTTCAGTCAAAGCAGTTGGAACATGCTGGGAATGTGCTTAGTTGACACTGAACTGGCTGGCCCAGATAATTTGAAAATTTGGATTTCAGCTGTGATATCCCTCAGAGAAATACTTCTGCAGTTCCTATCCCCTCCGTTATTGTGACCTAGTGAACCGTAAAACAGCCCTTTATCCCACAGTTTTGGTAACAAAATTGAATCTCCTATTTTAAACACCAGAAGACAGACAAAACTTAGATTCCTGGACAGTTGGTCAGGATGCAGAATTCTCCCTCCTCTCCTTTTCCTGGTGGTAGGTGTGATGTTTTTGGAGTTGCTCAATAACAAGGTTTTGTTTCACTGAGTCAGCTTTCAACTTTGCTTTTGTGTGGTTCTAGTTCTTTGTTGTTGACTAGATAAAGCCAGATTTCTGGAGACCTTTGCAACAGGTTAAACTTCTGATGGAGTTTGTCAATTTTTCCTTCCATCTCCTTCATAAGCTGAGTTTAGGGTTCTTCATGTTAAACTGTATGTCAGTTCAACTGGTGTTTTCTCCATGCAAACATAAAAAGAAATATTTTTCCATGAGTTCCAAGCATTTCCTGAAAATTGAGGAATTTACCACTTTTGAAATGCCAACCAACCAGGAGACTGCTTGCTGTTGCAGTTAATAGAGTTAATAGTACTGGCTGTGGCATCTTTTCTTAACATACTTAGTACTGAACAGAAATATATTAGCAGTTTTATTGTGCATTACATGTTATCAAAATTATTGTGACTACTTTTTTGGGGCTTTATTCTGTTGTTTCAACAAAGGGCACATACTTTTTCCTGTCCCTTTTGATTTTTAGCAGCTTTGTAGTCCCATTTTTATCTGT